GACCGTTTTCTGGCTGTGCTCTATATTTTATGGGCTGTGTGCTTGATGTTGCGTGGTCGTGCAGCCACATGTTGCTGTGTGATGTTTCGTTGCCATGGTCACAAAGATGCTGTCGTGTGTTGCTACGAGTTGTGTTGTTATGAGTTGTGTTGCTTGACTGGCTGTTCTGCGGTGTCGTATTGCTTGTGTGTGTGTTGCTTGACCGGCTGTTGTGCGGTGTCGTATTGCTTGTGTGTGTGTTGCTTGACTGGCTGTTGTGCGGTGTCGTATTGCTTGTGTGGGCTAAATTTCTTGTTGAACATTTAGTCCTCACACTCCCCCCCCCCACTTCGGAGGTTCAATGCTCCTTCATCCTTGGCTGTATGCGCGCTTTCCCTCTATACACGGTGACCGTGTAGTTCTCTGTGCGGAACCTCTGGCGTGCCCTGCACGTTCCCTGGTCGATTCTCCCGAAGACGCTGCGGATTCTCTCGGCAATTTCCGGATATTGGTCTAACACCGGTCCATCGACATCACTAGCCATGACCTCGATCCCTTCTGGAGGCATCTCTGGTTGCTGCTGTTTTGGCTCCGATTGTGGATGTGGTGATCGCGGCGGTTGTGTGGCGCTTGTAATGATGTATCAAATTAAATTTGGTTAATCAATTCTATGGTTTGGTTGGTCGCCGTTCCATTTTTTTTTTTTTTTTTTTTTGTGTCTCCTTGTGTCTATATGGCCTCGCTGATATGATACGTTTTTAATTCCGCGATATTGGCCGTCTTTTCCCTTCCTCCATCGGTCTTGCGTTTGACCTCGTCAAAGAATGCTCCAGGTAGTCGTGGCTCACGCCCTTGGACGAGAAAAGCTGGGCTGTACCCCGTAGAGGCGGTGACGCTGGTATTGATGGCTAGCTCGATTTCGGGGAGGAGGTCATCCCATCGCTGGTGTTGCGATCTGGTGAGCTGAGCTATTATTCGCTTGACCGTTCGGTTAGCGCGTTCCGTTGGGTTCTCCTGGGGGGTGTATGGCGCGGTAAACTGTTGTCGTATTCCCATCTCTTGGAGGTAGCGTTGCCACAGCGTGCTGGTGAACTGGACGCCGTTGTCCGAGATGAGTATATTCGGAACGCCAAATCTAGCTAGGATTCGTTCTCTGAATGCACGGCGCAGTCCTTCTGCCGTGGCGCGTCTCATTGGGATTAGCTCCACCCATTTGCTGAAGCGGTCGAAGAATACCAATAGCATGGTGTTGCCATGTGTAGATCGCGGTAGGGGTCCGACGAAGTCTGTGCAGACCGTCGCGAAGGGCTCCGAGGCCACCTGTGAAAACATTTTTCCCGCGGGTTTCTGTTGTCCTTCCTTGTATTTTTGGCAGGAATCACACTGGCGCACGTAGCGGCTGATGTCACGGAACATACCTGGTCAATAGTATCGGTTGGCGACCCGCGCCACTGTCCGTCGGATGCCCATGTGGCCGGCGCTGGGTACATCGTGGTTCTCCTGTAGTACTCGTTGGCGAAGGGGGGTTGGTACACATAGCTTCCATTGTGGTTCCGTCGTTATCGCTTGCCGGAGGGTCTCCAGTGGTTGCCGTGATAGTGCGTCCGCGACTAGATTGAGCTTCCCTTTTCGATATTCTATATCGAATGTATGCTGTTGTAGTTCTAGGGCCCACCTCGCTATGCGGCCGGAAGGGCTCTCGATGGAGTTCAGCCACTTCAGCGACATGTGGTCGGTGATCACCTTGAACCTGTATCCCTCTAGGTATGGCCTCATCTTCCGGATTCCCCAAACAATGGCAAGACACTCCTTCTCCGTGGGCGAGTAGTTGACCTCCGCTTTGTTCAATTTCCTGCTGGCATAAGATATTACGCGTTCACCTCCTTCTAATTCTTGTGTCAACACCGCTCCCAAGCCAAAGTTACTAGCGTCCGTCTGTAGGGTGAATTTCTCGTTAAAATCCGGACAGGCGAGTACGGGGGCCTCGGTGAGCTTCCGTTTGAGGGTGTCGAAGGCCTCTTGTTGTTCGACTCCCCACTTCCAATGCTAACCCTTTTTCAGGAGTGTAGTTAGTGGTTGGCTTAACGTGGCGAAATCGGGCACGAAACGACGGTACCACGATGCTATCCCGAGGTATTGGCGTACTTCCTTCACATTCGACGGTGGTTTTAATTCTCGGATCGCGGCCACCTTCTCGGGATCGGTGTGGATTCCCTTTTCACTTACCACATGACTCAAGTATCGGAGTTCCTTCTTGAAGAAGTCGCACTTCTCGGGGTTGATGCGGAGATTCGCGCGTTGTAGTCGTGTTAGTACTTCCTGTAGGTTTTGTACATGCTCCTCGAAGGTGGAGCCTATGACGATGATGTCGTCTAGGTAGACGAAAGCGTGGGGTTCCATTTCTGGGCCGATGACCTGGTCGAGTGCTCTTTGAAATGTTGCTGGTGCGGAGTGTAGGCCGAACGGCATGACACGCCATTGAAATAGTCCGCGCCCCGGCACGGCTGTGTACGGGCGACTGTTCGGTTCCAGAGGTATCTGCCAGTAGCCGTTTTTGAGTTCTAGGCTGCTGATGTACTTAGCCCGCCGTAACTTGTCCAGTATCTGTTGTATTCTGGGTAAGGGGTATGCGTCGGGTACTGATCGGGCATTTAGTTGCCGATAATCCACGCACAACCTCCACTTACCATTTTTCTTCCGAGCCAACACGATGGGCGCGCTATGCGGGCTACAGGAGGGTTCGATGCACCCTTTGGAGAGGAGCTCGTCGATCTCTGCGTTGATGATGGCCTGCATCGCTGGGTTGCGCGGAAAGTACCGCTGCTTAATTGGGCGGTCATCGGTCATGATGATCCTGTGCTCCGCCACGTTGGCCACTCCGCTCATGGTTTCAAACTTCTGTAGCTCTTCCGCTAGGAAGTCGCGTATTCGTGTTGCCTCGCCTGTAGGGTTACTGTGTGGCATCTCCGCGGAGGTGCGCTTATCGACGCTTCCACTGGGTTCATCATGGTCGACTCTATTGACCTTCTCGCTCCTGGATCTGCCCTTCCTTCGGTGCTTCCTCTTAGCCGTCCTCGGCGGGATGGTATTACTTACTGCGAGTGAGGTGTTATCCTCCGTGGTTTGTGAGGTAGCGGATGGTGCCGGCTGTGTTGTCGGTTCGGTGAGTACAACTTGATGACCGCCACAGGATACTACATCTCCCATGCTTCCCAATGTGTCTAGGCCGAGTATGAGGTCGTCTATTGCGCCTGGCATGATGTATAGCACTGCGTGGTGCATCGCTGGTGCGACTGGTTCCGTCGGCCATGTGTATCTCGAGGGCTACCGTTATCCTCTCTCCGCTTCCTACGGTTGCCATGTACTCCGCTAAGGTGGTGGATATGAAACTCTTCGAGGCACCGGTATCGATGACGGCCTCGACTAGCTCCCCACCCAAGTGGACTAGGGCGTACAGTCGACCGTGATCCTGACGCATGGTTATGGGTGTCTCGGCGCTGGGTTCGGTGGGCTCACCGCGCCTTGTCCTTGGTGGAGCCCTCCGCCGTTTCCCTGACGCCGGCGACAGCATTCGATCGTGCGGACATTGGCCCGACCGCACTCCCAACAGAATATCTTCCGTGCGTTGCGGCATCGCCTGGCATAATGTCCTTCCTGCCCACATCTCCTGCATACGTTGTTGGGGTCGAAGCTCTGGTTTCTGGATAGGTCACGACAATGTGTGTCCGTCGCTGAGCGGTGTGGTGTAACTGGCGGGTGGCGTTGTGTCGTCCGCACCAGTGGGGTGCGATGAGATGGTTCATCCGGTTGAGTGGTGGTCCTCATCGGGTTGTCGCCGGTGACATGCCTTGCCACCTCCCGGCGTGATGTCTCCGTCGTCCGTCTGTGGCCTTCGTGGATACACTCGTACTCCTCCGCGAGCGTGAGTAGTTCAGATAGAGTGGTGAAATCCCGCCGCCGAATGTATAACAAGTAATCGGGGTGGCTGTTGCGGAAAATCCTTTCCAAACGCTGCTCGCTGCTATACCCGGCATGTCGCATCAGGTTCTGTATCGCGATTACGTACTCCTTATATTTCTCCCGTGGGTGCTGCCTTCTCTGCCGTATATCGTCCTCGAGGCGTTCGAAATACCGAGATGGCAGGAAGAAGCGTAGGAAGTCGCGCTTGAAGGTTATCCCGCTACTCCAGTGTTCGTTGTTGTTGCGGTACCAGTGAAGAGCGTTGCCGCACAGCAACTCGGGCATGGTTTTTGGCAGGAGGTCCACGTTCAAGGCATAGACCTCGGCCAGTTCCTCCAATCGCTCTACAAACACTAGCGGGTCTCGCCCACCGTCATATTTTACTGACCACTTCCTTACCTGGTCGATGATAGGTGCAAACGTATGGGTCGGTGCTTGGTTTGCAGGGTTGGCTGTACCTGCGTTCGGCCCGACGGTTGTTGTCGGCGGGTGCTGGTAAATTGGTGGCTGATCTGATGGCAGCTGGTGCTGGTGTAGCGGTACCGCCAACTGGCTCTGTGTCGTGTTTTCCATAGGAGTAGTCGTACTGCCCGTAGGTTCATCCGGTGGTACTGGCGTCTTCTGCTCCTCCTCGTCTTCCGAGGCAACCTCGCTGCCTCTGTTGGTGGTTCCCATCGCCTGGAATTTGGCATAGATCTCTGGGTCAGTGTGCGCCTTGGCCGCCAGCGCCGTTATGCGCTTGCGTATTTCTCGGGCGGTACCCGCGCACTCGATTCCCAATTCCTGTGCGCTGGATACTAGTTGCTCCTTAGGTATATAATCTAGCCATGCTGTGTTGATCACTTCCGCCATTTTGTTCGTATCCAACATATAATAATTTTTCCTTTACACGTGTACGATTTACCAAGGGTCCCTGCTCGGGCGCCAATTGTAACGAAGCGTTTTATTCGCCCCGTAGCTTCTTCTACGATGCTGGGGTATACTCGCCGTGTCCAGGGTTCGTTACAATAAATTTGTAGTTTCGGGGCTCTGGTAAATCGCACTTTATTAATTTAATTTTCTTAGTTTCTACAAAGAACACATAACAAATAACAAAATTTGCTGGCGTCACTTGCAGTGGTTGGGTAACGGCTTCCTGTCCCGTTATGGGCCCGTTAGGCGGTAGTGGCGTAGCTTCAATTCTGGTGGGCAGCGCTCTGTTGACGCCGTTGAATGGCGCGCTGCTACCCTCGGTACGCCTGTCGTGCGCTGCTGACGGCGACGGGTAGCGCTCTTGCGGGTGCGCTTGGTGTTGCGCTGTTGGCGGCGCCGGATAGCGCTCTTGACGTGGCGCTAATGACGACGACGGGTAGCGCTCTTGCGGGTGCGCTTGGTGTTGCGCTGTTGGCGGCGCCGATGAGAGGCGCTCGGTTAACGCCGATGAGTAATGCCCTTGTAAGTGGGGCTCTGCTGGCGACTGTAAGTAGCGCTCTTGTTGGCACGCTTGGCGTTGCGCTGTTGACGGCGACGAGGAGCGCGCTTGTTGGCACGCTTGGCGTTGCGCTGTTGACGGCGACGAGTAGCGCTCTTTCTGGCACCCTTGGCGTGCGCTGTTGCCGGCGACGAGTAGCGCTCTTGCGGACGGCGCTTGGCGTTGCGCCGTTGACGGCGACGGTTAGCGCTCTTTCTGGCACCCTTGGCGTGCGCTGTTGACGGCGAGCGAGCGGATGTCGTTCGTACGTGGCTTCGCGGTAGACAGTGGCGAGCGGTTATCGGAACCGTTTTTAATGATCACTACTCTGAGTGGTGATGTCTTGTGGTGTGTGTGTACCACTCACAAGCAATCGCTCCATTCAGCGGTAGTTCTCACTACAAAATATGGTTCTCTACCTTTGAAAAGTGATGTCTTGTGGTGTGTGCGTACCACTCACAAGCTATCGCTCCCTTCAACTGTAGTCGTTCACTCGCGACCATAGCTCCGTGCTGACTGACCGTTTTCTGGCTGTGCTCTATATTTTATGGGCTGTGTGCTTGATGTTGAGTGCAGGGTTGCCACTTTGGTAAATTGTTACCAAAATTGGTAGAAAAAA